AATATGCATATATATATATATATATATGTAGCCGCTGAGATGCACGATAGCGGGCCAGCTTGCGCAGGGTCTTGGTAAGCTTCTTCCGCTCCTCCGTAGAGATAGTCAGCCATGCTCCCAGGCCTGCATAATGTGCGCTACGTGTGTATGTACATGTGCACACCACTCATGATCAATAAGACCCGGCCGCCTTTTCTCTCTGCCGTCTTCTGCTTCTTGCGAGCCGGCTCCTCCTCAGCCTCCTCAGTCCCGCCCGGGGCCGGGGTCTTTCCTCGGCCGCGTCCACGGCCACCGCGGCCACGACGGCCACGTCCGCGACCACGCTCGGATCCAGCTTTTGCAGCCGCCTTCTTAGGTCGGTTCGCAAGTCGCCTTATTTTCTCGGCACATGCATGTATCTTGTGGGAATCGGGCACGGTCACAATGGCATATGATCATATGGAGAATTCGAAATCATATCAAGGTGCAGTTTGGACTGCATAGCCGGCAATTGGTGTTCATCACATCTCATCAACAGTAGCTCTCGTGACTTGCTATCCCAAGAAGGTGGGTGCTGAATGAGCGGCTTGTGATCCTGCGTGCTGACGTGCGTGTACATATATACATGCATTTTATAAATAACATATATATATATATANNTCGTATAATCATGAAATCGCCCTGTCCTTCTCACTCGTGCGCGCTGCAGGTTTCTTCTGCACCTTTGGGGCCTCCTCGGGGAAATTTAAAGACAGACAGCAGTGACTGAGAGAGAGACAGAGACCCGAGCGGGAGAGAAAGAGAGAGAGAGAGAGAGAGTCGACCGAGAGCAACAAACAAACAGTCGATCGAATGAGCGCACGAACCTCCTCGTCCTCTTCATCCTCCTCCGCACTTGCTGTGGGCTCTGGCTCTGGACCCTGTCGGGGTAGCTCTGTGGAATGCGAACACGATGGCCCTATCCATTCCCTCCCGGACCTGGCCAGCATCGTCATCCATGCCCTCGCCATCCACCTCCTCTTGCTGGGCACACTCATCCCCTTCCTCCTCGTGGGCATCCTCATCCCCTACCTCCTCGTGGGCATCCTCATCCCCTTCCTGCTCCTGCTGGGCATTCTCATCCCCTTCCTCCTCCTGCTGGGCATTCTCATCCCCTTCCTCCTCCTGCTGGGCATTCTCATCCCCTTGCTCCTCCTGCTGCCCAGTCTCCCCAGTCCCCTCCTCGCCCGCTTCCGGAACATCGCCGCCCTCTGCAATCACCGTCAACTTCAGGATGTCTTTCAGCTCCTGGATCTTGGGTCGCCTCATGCTAGCCATATGCGCATGCATTTACTATATATAAACTATCTGATCAGCAACATGTAGATGCTCTAGTGCAAACCAAGCACTTTGATCTGCTCGGCGTTTTTCGATACAGCCGAATAATGTAACACAAGCGAGCTCGCAGCGTGTTGGCGTTGCTCATGGCCCACGCCTGCAATAATATCTCTAGGATCTATATATATATATATATTAATTATATTATTATATATATATATATACACACACATACCGCAAAGCAACCTCGATTTCCTTCTTCTTCGCAGCGGCGCCAAAGATGCCGTGCTCGTAGTTGCACCATGTAAATGCAGCCTCGGATTGGTTTTGCGTGTATATATATCCATTATATATATATAATATTATATGCATGATCCTGATCACATGACTGCCTTGCTGCACTATGCATTGCTGCGAGGAACTTTGAACTTCGATGGGAAAGGTGGTTTCAAGCCGAATTGAGCACACAGGGGAGCTAGTACATCGAAGGCCTTCTCAATAGCATCGTCGCACATGAAGGTGTGCTCCTCGAGGCAATCGTGATCCTTAAGTGGCAGGCTCTTATGCAAGCACACCATGACACACGAAATATATTGGCATGCCAGCACACCTCGTCTATGCAAGCTGCTTCGCTAGACCGCATCATGCCGGCCAGAGATATTGTCGAACCCTCCGGCTTGCTCCGAAGCCACTCATCGATAATATCTTTCAGCAAGATCCTGTAGCCGAGCAATAGAAGCACAGGCACTAGTAGTACTATAGTGAGCTAGTGCAAGAACAGAATCTGAATTTAGCTGAGAAGCAGCTCTCCATCGTCGTCATCAAGCTCGCCACCATCGTCGGGCAGCTGACATTCATCAGCATCATCAGGGGGACATGTTTTTTTCTTGGGCGGCATCCGCTACAACTAGCTAGAGGGCTCGACTCGCACTGTCCAGCCAAAATCTTAGTGCAGGCAGCAGGGTCCAAAGAAAAAGCAGCTGCAACCAATAGTGCATTTGCATGGATAACATAACCGGCAAGGCTGGGGAGATCGGAGTCCTCCTTCTCGTTGCTGCTGCTGCTGTTTCAGCAGTTTCTTTCGACGTGCTGATAGCGCAGCCCGCAGCATGCTGGACAAACGGAGCTGGCGCACACGTGCACCATTGGAAGTCTCTGTTAAATTTAGGGATCTAGGGATAGCTGGGTGGTTTTGGAGTGCGAAGCGGGTTTTTGGGAATTTGTGGAGTGGTTATAAAGTTAGGGATCTAGGGATAGCTCGGGTGGTTTTGGACTGCGAGGCGGGGTTAAAGGGGATGTTTTTGAAGTGGTCTTCGACTTCTGTTCAGCACCCGGCTTATATTCCAGCTGATCGCTACCAAACCGGCGCCACGAAGCTTATATTTTGCATGGGCTCTAGCTAGGTGTCTTCAGATCTGACCCGCCTGGCAATTCAAGATGCATTGTCGATACAAACAACCTATAAGTTACCTGGCGAGCCAAGAGAACGAAGCCCAAATATGCCCCGAGTGGCCAATTCGCCCTTCTTAACCCCTGATATTCACTTTAAAGGATGGGTACTGGAACCGGTTCCTTCCTAGACCGGTTACTGAGCAAAGGCCTTCCTAGGGAGGTTACCAGGTCAGTAACCTATCCAGCAGGTTACCGGGCACCCAGGGCAATCACAACACCGAAGCAAAAGCAAACCCTAAACCCTCAGTCCCAAACCCCAAGGCCCTGAACCCCAAGTTCCAACCTAAACTCAAAACCCTAAACTCTAAACCCTAAATCCTAAACCCAAAACCCTAAACTCTAAACGCTAAGCCCTAAACTCTAGACTCTAAACCCTAAACCCTAAATCCTAAACTGTAAACCCCAAGAACCCAGGCCGGAGGGCTCCGCCGGGAACGCGGACTGGAGGCTCTGGGCCGAAACCTGGGCCCGATGGGACCCCAACCAGGCCACGAAGGCCGGCGGATGCCTACTCGGGTTTTTGGGGCTTATTTAGGGGTTTTTGGGGCTTGTTTAGGGGCTTAGGGGTTTTTGGGGCTTGTTTAGGGGCTTTAGGGGCTTTAGGGCTTTGGGTTTTAGGGTTTATAAGGGTTTAGGGGCTTAGGGCTTTAGGGGTTTAGGGTTTAGGGTTTAAGGGTCTTTAGGGGTTTAGGGCTTCTAGGGTTGTGTACATACGTATGTGTATGTATATATGTGTGTGTGTACATGTACATAGATATTTGTTCATGTAGAAATATTTAGCGACTAATAAACATTACTTACTAGTATGATCACACCATATAATTTGTCATATAATAGTCAGAGTAGAATTGTGCCTCTGTGCTTATATACATACAGACAGATACAAATACTTGTTGTTAGTGGCAGTGTCTGGTTGATGGGTTTTGCAGTTTATAGGTTCCTTTGATTCTGGAAGACTGCCGCTGTCAGGGTTTGGGTTTTGGTGTTTTGATCACAAAATCCAGGGTTTTGGGTGTTGTGTGTTTGCTCCTATATTGGCTCGAAGACTCATGAGACTGCGTGTGTAGTCTGCAAGTAGAGTCATCACTACCTGGATCTGAAAGAACCTACATTTTTCAGGACGTATGCGAGGAAGTCATAAGAAGCCCTAAACACCTTAAGCCGCAAACGTCTGACCCAAAATCCTAAACCGTAAACCCGTAAACCCTAAACCCTCAATCAATAATCCTCCTAAGCCCTAAACCTAAACCCTAAACCCCTAGGTAGGGTTTCACCAGGACAACGCTGAGATTGAAGCCTTGCTACGCGAAGTATAACCTGCAAAGTGCCTTAAGGACCAAAAGACCATTAAAGCTAGGGGCTCCATACCCTTATACTATGAATCCCTATTATGGTAACCCTAAACCCTAAACCCTAAACCCTTATACTATGAATCCCTTTTATGGTATATGAGCCTTAAACCCTTGGAGGGTTCATTTCGTCGTTACGGTAGGTCCCTGAGCACCAAAGCCCTAGACAACTCCCGATCAACCCACGGGCTCCTGCACAGCCTAAAGTAGGACGGTTTAGGGTTAAGGGTTTAGGGGTTTAGGGATTCAGAGTTTAGGGTTTAGGAGTTTAAGGTTTGTGGTTTAGGGTTTGGGGTTTAGGGTTTAGGGGTTTAGGGTTTAGGGTGTAGGCTTTAGGGGTTTAGGGTTTTAGGGGTTCAGGGTTTGGGGTTCAAAGGATTTAGGGCTCAGGGGTACCATTCCCAGACCTTCCCAAAATCCCTAAGTGGGGAATATACCTTAGACTTTAATAGTAACCATCATATGAATGAAGGTATATTCCTTAATCGAAGAATTTGGGATGGTCTGGGTTTATGGACTTTAGAGCCCAGAGATAGGAACTATTTGTATACTGGGAGCCCTAGGGAAACACGCAACAAACTCTACTAGCCGGGCAAGCCCCAGGACCCGAAAACGCAAATCCAAAGCCATCCCCTACGTCCGAAACCCTGTGTCCCTTGTAGTTTTTCTAAGTCAACAACCCTTGAATAGACCACTTAAGGCCGTTATACAGCCCTGCAAACGTGGAGGAGATCCATCTCACACTTTGAAAAAACCCTGGAAACCCTCAGCAACCCTGCAGCACTTTTCTCAACCCTATGGCCCAACATGAGTCCTTAAAGAAACACCCTAAACCCTAAACCCTAAACCGTGTAGGGGCCAGTTGCAGCCGGGAGGCACAATGTGAACAAAATGAGTCCGAGTCCCTTTCACAAAGCCTATTACATCGCACGTTCGACAAGGCCCTGTGGGTAAACGGTTTAGGGTTTGGGGTTTAGGGTTTAGGGGTTCAGGCTTTGGGGTTTCGGGTTTAGGGGTTTAGGGGTGGAGGGCTGTGAGTACAACAGAAACCAAGCGCCACCATCAACTGCCAAACGTCTGCGCCAAGGCCGAGCTCTTGCAACTGCTCGCTGCCGGCGAAGATGCAGAGCTGCGGCGGGTGCTTGGGCGCCGTGGCCGACGTTTCAGGTTTAGGGTTTAGGGTTTAGGGTTTAGGGTTTCGTTTCAGGTTTAGGCTTGAGGGTGTCGGATTAATTCTGTAGGACATGTGGGGTTCATGCGGTGGCCCACACTGGGCAGTTGCCGAGATTTGCCTTTACGGTTTGGTTATAGGGAACCCTAAACCCTGAACCCTAAGAAAAACCCTCAAAGCCCTAAACCTTGATGTAAAAGGGTGCGCTATGCCAGACTGTAGAGTCTTATTGTAGGGCCTGTGTAATTACAATAGGGTTTTGGGCTCTTTTGTAGCATAGTTTTAATAATCAGGAGTCCTAAGAACAATTTTCTGAATTATTTAGGCATCTGCATTATTCAGCTCAATCTGGTTTCTGAAGCTTTGGGCCTTTGAAATTGTAGGACACGGAAAGTTGTCTAATTAGGGGTTGATGTGGAGGTGTCCTGGAAATATAAGGATCCTACTGTAGGGGACTAAATTACTATTTGGGGTTCCTTGTTGTAGGTGTAGTATGATATACCCCCAAACCCTATTCTAATTATGAAGCCCCCTACATGGCATGGGGGGCATCTTTAGGATACGGATTCTACGATTTAGGGTCGAGGTCGAGCTAACGGTGTCCGAACCGGGGGTTCAAGTCTTAAAGTGGAGGAACTGGGATGTATAAGGCTTATAAGGGTCTTCAAACAGTTGTATAGCACCAAGACTCCAAGTGCACGAGTAGTGTCTACTTCGGGGTCTACAGTCTATACATAGTACTTGCCTACGTCGTGTGTTATTTGGAGTTTTTCAGACAGATTTGCTAATATCGCTTGGGATCTTGGGAGTTGGGTTAAGCGTTGAGGAAGCCGGGCTTCGGGTAGGAAGTCGGCGTTTTTTGTTTTAATGTGATGTGGGTTAAACCCTGAACCCTATAAGCCCTAAAACCTAAACCGCTTGAGGCCTTGCTAGATAGTGTCCCCCCATATGGTTCCATCATGAAAAAGACTCGGCCCAGTTTGCTTGTCAAACCCACACCCTATTCTAGCTATTGAGGCCCCACTATCAGTTGTAGCCGCCCATTCTTTCCAGAAGGAGCCGCCTGGAGTTCGGCACCGCAGGCGCGGGTTCTCGCCTGCATGTGGAATTTTCAGCGGTTTGCTTTAGGGTTTAGGGAACTTCCGGTATGGAGCTGCCAGAAAGAATTAGGGTTTAGGGTTTAGGGTTTAGGGTTATGCTCGTTACAAGCCTGAGTAGTAGAATGCTGATGTTTCGGACTCCTAGACAGGGGCCCTCGTTGTCAAACACCCTACGAACCCTAATTTCCCAAACCCTTCACCCCCAAAGCCGAAAGGCCAAACCCCTAAAACCCCAAACCCTAAACTCAAAACCCGTTGCAGCCCAACAGCCTTCCTGCCCAACATACTTCAGCCCGTAGAGCTTGTTCGTTGTCAAGACGTGGAGCGGCAAGAAGATGACGTGGTGCCAAAGGCTGCGCAGCGGCCCCCTCACGGAACTTAATATAGGGGCCTTAATAGTTAGAGTAGGGTTTGGGGGTATATTATACTGCTTGTTATAATAAGGAGCCTCCAAAACCCTATTCTAATTACTATTGGGGTATATTATTATTCTGTTTGTTACATAATAAGGAGCCTCCAAAACCCTACTCTAATTACTAAGG